GGACCAACGTTGTGATCTATAAGTATTATGCTAAAATGTAAATAAGGGTTTATGAATCGTTTTAGCATTTGCGAAAAACAACTAAAGTGATTGGCAAATTAGCGTCTTCGTAATTGGAGATACTGGTTTGAAATCAGCGGATACTTGTCACAGCGAATCAGGACTCGATTCTGTAGCTGGTCAGACTTGGGTGTGTCAGTGAGAGCCAGTTTCCAGTAGAGAAAACATCTGAGGCGTTATGTGGAATCTGTTGGATGTAGTGGAGTTAGATCAGGATAAATGTTTCAGTATAAAACAAAGAAGGATTACAGTTTAGATGAGCCAAAAAGTCAAACTTACTCTCTTCTTCCCAGACACACTGAAGGTTTCACAAGGTCTAACGAATTCCTATAAGAAAGTTTGTAGTATGCAACAAACTAGGATGAGATGAGTTTGATTACGAAAATGCTGACGGCATTAGAAGTTGCCGTTTGCACAATATAACAATCTTCGATTTCCAAAAATCTCATCGCGAATGCAAAATTAATGTATATTTTAGTTGCAGGCACAAGAGTGAGTTCATACGAAAAGGAGGCAGTCGCGATTGGAAGAATCATTTTACAAAAGAGCAAAGTGATCGCATGGATACTATATTTCGCACTCGTCTCACAGGAACTATTGCCGAAAAGTATGTATGTTGGCAATGTTTGAAAGAGGCCAATGAAGGCATCACCACCAACAAGTTGTTTCAGATGGTGGAGGGAGGAGATGGCATGGGATATGCTGCCAATCTCAGCTCTGTCGCATCTTGAACTCGAAGATGACATTGAGTCGGTTTCCAGGAGGGGCTCATTCTGTCTCGATCTTAACAAAGTAGAATACATCACATGGCCCCAAAAGTTTCATCCAAAGCTGAGCTTTCAGGATCTGCGCAGTCACTTCATGGATCGCCGTTCTTCATACGCCTCGCTACTTTCCACTGGTTATGGATCGGTGTGGTCTCTAACTAACTCCCATTCCTAAAATTAGACATCCTTTCTTCGCAGCGGAACCTAAAGGCACTAGATGAAAATCACTGCTAGCTACATCTAGATAATGTTCGCTGTGTTCTAACAGCATTTTTGTATATATAGATCGTTTGCTGTAGAATAGGAACTTTGGCAGTGTTAGCGCTGCGAAGAGAAGCATCGACTTTGCTTCTCCACTAATATTAAACGGCACATTAATGTCGAAGTACACACTATTTGTGTGATTTGTTAAATAAACGTTGAGCTCTTGCCTTTCTCCTTTATACACAAAATAAACTCTTTAAGCCGCAGCAGCTTCTAGTCTTTTCCGACTTTCATAACTGAATTTTCGCGGTGCTCTAACGGTCAACCTTCAATTGTTTCCGGTTTAAAAACAAGCAACAAAGGAAGTTGCTTTACACGATTTCCACCTTT